TGATAGAGGAGAAAATGGAATAAGCGGTAAATGTAATGGTGTTGGAGTTGTGTTTTTTAATGTAGGAGCAAAATCAGAAATGGAAGAAGGTTGTGGAGAAGGGAGGTTGCCTACTGTAACTTTATTTTGAAGAATATCTTCTAATTTTTGTACACATGTTTTAAGTTGACTAAACAAACGAGCACTATTATGGGGTTTTGATTTAATACTTTCTACATTATTTTTTTTAAAAAAAAAATTTGAATATTTAATTGAATAAAGGAATAAACTAAACTTTAAACTGATATATAAAAATTTTGTTATTTTCAACTACCTCTGCTGATGAAAGTAACCTCATTTCCTAGTTTATAAAGTAACGCATTGGCAGTTTTCAAATAGTTATCGTATGAATCCTATGTTTATGGAGTGATTTCAAAGTTGATCAATGATCTTGAACTGGATCATCTAATAATTCTTCTCCATTTCTAATAATTATTTCATTAATAAAAACATCAAGCGCTATGCACATATATAAAAGTTTCAATTAATAATTATTTTTTTTACATGTACCTTGTTTCTTTGCCACTTTGTTTAGTAGGAGTAAATTCAATACTGTTAGACTGCTAAAAACGAATAAAAAATAAATAAGATGCCCTTATTATCTTAAGAAAACACTAGTTTTTATTGAGCATTGAGACTTACCAACATTTTTCTGATTTTTTTATTAGAAATCAGAATATCTATATATTGTAACACATTTTGATGTATCTCAAAGAAATTTCGGGGACCAAAATTGATTAACATCACAATTATACTATTATACATAATAATTACATAATAATGTGATTGTTGTGTGAAATTCAAATCAGCAAATATCCCAAAATTTTGACAAAATTCACACTAAGCTTTAATAAAAAACTTTTGTTAACATCGAATTTATTAATATGGTGCAGGACACCTAGTCCCTACAACTTTCTGCGCCACAGCAACAGATTTGGGAAAAAATTCACAATCAAAAATGCAATAAAATTTTTACACTCACGTGTTTTAAAATAGGTTTGTCACGTTTTATCAGTATCACGTGATAAAAGATCTACAATACAGTTTTCAAAATTTTCAATTCTTCCAATTCATTCATTTTTTAATATAAAAAATTTGTGTGTAACACGTCACTTTGGAGGATTAACATAGTAAATTTGTTAAAATTGTGCAACTTTAAGGCTTAATTCCTCCACAACAACATGGCATATCAACAAAATGAAAATGTCATTTTGTAGAAAAAGGTCTTAGCTTCAAAATGTCATCTTGTTTTTTTGGTCACACATTTCCATTTTTGGAGGAGTTAAAGGATTTGCAAGACTAATAAAATTTGTAGTGACTAGGTGTCCTGCACTATATGCGGATTTTTTTATGGTTCCCTTTTTTTCTTTAAAAAAGGAAACAGTGTAACAAAATATATTTTCAAATATGTTATTACATTATTAGTATTATGAACTTTCAATCGCTAAGGCTTTTGGAAAATCGTTACATTTATAAAATTATTAGAGGTTTTTAATCAGGATACATTTGTAGAACAGTGCTATGGAGAGATAATCTTTATTTAATACGATTTTTTCAGAAGTTGAAATAGATAGAAGTATTATGATAAAGAAGAAATTTTCTCTATTTTGAATGAGCTTTTTTACACCATTAATATTTTTACATCCATTAAATCTTTCCATAGCTCTAATCTATATTACATATACTATCTTGCATGCTAATTTGATGTTCATATCTTTGAAAACGGATGAGGAGTAGTGGTTTGAAAACAGCATGTTTTATTAGCATTTTATTAGTATTATGGACTTTCAATAGCTAAGGCTTCTGGAAAATCGTTACATTTATAAAATAATTAGAGGTTTTTGAACAGGATACATTTGTAGAACAGTGCTATGGAGAGAGAATCTTTATTTCATACAATTTTTTCAGAAGTTGCAATAGATAGTAGTATTACAATAAAGAAAGAAATTTTCTGTATTTTGAAGCATCAGGAAAACATGTTTTTTGATACACATTTTCCTGATGAATGAGTTTTTTACACCACTGATATTTTTAATCCATTAAATCTTTCCATAGCTCTAAAGTATAATGTATATACTACCTTTTATGGAAATTTAATGCCTATATCTTTGAAAACAGAGGAGGAGTAGTGTTTTGAAAACAATATGTTTACTATGTTCTTTATGTAAATTTTGGAAATTCTGTAAGTGATATGCAGATCACAAAAAAAAATCACATATAACCAATCAATATATGACATTAATTAGTTTGGATTTTCTTAGAATGTCGCACACCCCAATAATTGATTGTGAATAAAAAAAACAAATTGAATGAATATATAAAAACAAGTAGATATAACTCTAAAATTTCAAGCACATACTTTTGTTTGTTGTAGTATCTAACAAGGTAATTCAGAGTTAATTCAGGACAAACTTAGAAGATGGAATAAAAATAACCAAAGAGAAATAAGTTAACTAATGTTGTAAACAGTATACAATATTCTCACAAACAAACAAATAAATGAATGAATGAAAAATATTTTTTTTTATGCAATTTGTTCATTACCTTTCCCTCCATGTAACATTTCTTCATACAATGCCCACCTAACTTCCTTTTCCTTCACCAATCTTGCCTTTTCTTCCTTTAATTCATCCATCTCCCATATCTCTTTAAAATCCCTCAAGTTCTCCTCCTTCATAAACTCCTCCAACTTCCATTTTGCTTCTTTGTATTCTCTTACAACTTCTAATTGGTTTTCACTTCCTTGAAAGTTGTCATTTTTTAAAAATAAAAAAAAAAGATTCAAAACTCAAACAATGTTTTTTATTGATAAGCAATGCAATATGATGATCATTAATTAAGTTTGCATAAAGGAGAATTTTCTTTGTAGTAATAGTCAGTAAAAAAAATTGTAATAATAAGATTATTTTCTTTCTAAGGGTTCCTGCTTTTTGTTAGGTAATAGCACACTTTTATTTTGTTTTCTTTTTCTAACATTTATGATTTTTCTTTCTTCTTGGTAAATTTCATAAGTAATCCTTTCTTTTTTTAGATAAGCTTCCGGTGTCTTGGTATCATTTATTTTAAAAACATAAGGAGCAATTTTTTCATCTTGTTCCTTCTTCAAAATACTTCTAATGATGCTATAATTCTTGGGTTCCATGGTAAACCTGATGTAAATGAGTTTCATGTTATTATTTTGTATAGGGATAGTTCTATATATCACTTAAAATAACAAATGGGATATTATAAAACTGTTAATTATGATCACATTACAAATGGCTAAATTTTGATCCCTGAAATTCTTGGTAACACCAATGTTCACTTTGTCTGGTTTTTTTGCAGCATGCCCCAATTTATTTTTACATGGAATTCAGAGTTCTTTTGTACATTTTGTTTAATTATAAGTGATTCCATCATTGATACCCTATTTTGTCTAGACATTGTATATAAATAATAAAATAAAAACACAAATTTCATCTTTGAATATCTTTACCCAAATTGGTAACAATCAATGTTTATATATAGAATGTAAATAATACAGTACCATGGATAATAAGGAAGAACAAGTCACTACTGTTATAATGACATTGAATTTTATTTATTTACAAAAAATAAGATGTTAAATTCACACAATCTATTACTATGAAAGGGATTTTTGCAAAAAAATTTGTAAACCAATATTTTTGCACAATTCTAATTTCCTTATTTTTTATAATGTGTTTTTATCTCACATCACATTTTTTTATGTATAAAAAATATAATTTAACAGCTAAAAACAGGTTTGTTTATTATTATTATGTTTAAAAATTAATGTCAAAAAATGTTTGTGCGCAATCAATGATTTTGTGTAATTGTTAATTTAGTAATGATATTCAGCCCAATCAAAATTCTTTTTTACGTGATAAAATCAAAA